GCAAAATATTGGAGTAAGTTTAAGATAAATTTATAATAAAATTAAAATTATGGTATTTTAAATTTACAGTATATAAATGGATTTATTTAAATCTAAATATTAAAAATAATCTTTTATTTTAAAATTTGTCCATGCATTGCATGGGTTTTTAGCTAGTATATTTATAATTTTATATGATATAATTCTGTAGAGGTACTTTAATATAGTCACACATCTATATTATCACCAGATAGATATATACCCAACTGTGTGATTATAGAGAAGGATGACTGTAAATATTTTAAGCAGTTAAAATGCGAGATAAGGCGGCGGATAATTAGCATGCATCACTTGGTAAGCCATTAAACTTTGAAATGGTGCATTATAATCTAGTGTCACCTGTTATTTGATCGTAAAAAGAGAAAAAAAAATAAAAAAAAAATACTAAATCATTAACAATTAATGATATTAAATTATGAACAAACCTCTGATCTAGCATAATCTTCTCTATCATCGTTATATTTGTCTTTTTTATCCGGTCCTCCAACAACAGCGCCGTATAAAACATACCTTGACACTGGCGGGTGGCGTATATTTCCGATATCAGTTCCTCCACTCGCACCAGCATGATGTGGATTCTTTGGCGAACTGTGATGTGCACCGACGACATAAACTTTATTCAACGGATTCTTTCCCAACAAATAATCAATTTGTGATAACGCAAAATTCGTATACGATCGAGTTTTATCAGCGGTTGTTGCATGGCGCGCATAAACAAGTAATGCGAATGAAATATTAAGCGACACATTTAGTGAAGCACTATCGCTATCACCTTTAAGCCATAATAATCCACCATTTGTATGATGACATTCTTTATGTCTTTGTTTCACCATTCCATCTAAGTACTTTTCTGCCTCTGCCTTCCATGGGGAACAATTTCTTCCTGCCCTCTCTGTCAGCATAGCAAGTAAAATATAATTCGCGCCTGAATGGTCATCCCAATTAATTGCACTAGTCCATTCATCTTGTGAAAATTCGTTAAAATAGTGTATTGCTCTATCTAAATAACTAACTTGGTTTGTTGCTTGAAACAACCATAATGCAGCGAAAACCAATTTATCGTCATAACGAGAGGATTCGTATGCTTCTTTTGCTTGCGGAACAGCAACTGTGTACACTTGGTGTGGCTTGGTTTCTGCAAAGTTGAAAAGATCCACAGCATGTTGAAGTAACAAATTGGCATAGTCAGGTTGATTAAATTTTGTGCGAAACAAAAGGGAGGCTGATGCTAATGCTGCTGCTGCTTCTGCTGCAACATCCGTACCGTGACGCGAAGCGTCGATACAAAATGATGGTCGAGGATACGGCATACTGTTTATTCCATTTACAAATTTATATAAATGTGAATATATAACCTGGATACCTTTTTTAACGAAATATAAAGGAAAATAGGTACCCAGTATCAGGACCCCAATAATCATGATCCACTGTGTCTATACCAACCTCGACATACAATACGGTAGGTGCGGGATGAGCTTTAAGCAACCAATCAGTGCCCCATTTGATCATGTCGTAAAGATGTCCGGTCTGACCTGACAAATGATACCCATCAAACCACTCAAGAGCGCCCCATGACACGATTGATAAAGACCATGATAATGGTAATGTGAATTTTAAATAATCGCCTGATTTAACAATTTATTTAATGACAAGTATTCGGTAAATGCCAAATTTTTAAAATTTCTTGAAAACGTACCTGCATCGTAATAGCCCTAAAATTGTAACAAACATATAAGATAAAAATGATTTGACAAGTTGCAAACTGCAAACTGCAAACCACAATCATAACTCTTAGATATTCACCCCTGTGAGATCTAGTCCAACATCATGACCATCGGTAAGCGCTGAATTATGTCTCCTAATTTATAAGTAAAGATATGGAAATTCAATTGTTTCGGACATTCGGATAACGTGCATTATACTAAATCAACTAGATTACCATGGGATCCTATTATTTGCGGGTAAAACACCACTTCTTTGGGCTTCAAAAAAGTATAGAGAATAACCTAATAATTTAGAATATTCATTCCCATTTTGTGGTATACCAGGAATATTTTCACAAGAAAACGGTTGCGCGTTGGTTGGAGCTAATGGTTGTGTATTGGTTTGAGCTACTGGCTGTACATTTGCTGCAAGAGGGTTTTGAAATTCTTCTTTTAATGATTTTAGAAATGATTTCATTCTTAAAAGAATTGTATTTTTAAATTGTAGCACTTTGACCCTACTGAGTCTTTATGTTGCGGACCCAAGGTGGTCGCATAATCTTTTTTTAGATCCATGCACCTAACGCTAGACTTGTTATAGTGATATTACTAAATTTTTGCACAGCTGAGCTCTTAATACGTATAACGATAATGAATTTACTATTTTTAAAAACTTAATTAGTAACCTAAATGCTTCTTTACTATCACTTGTGTAATTAATTACAGAATTATATATAATGATAATACGTAATTGTTTTTAAATTTCTCGATTTGAAACCCTGAGTTACACTACATACGTAGTGGTTAAGATAACTTTAGTCAATCGACTAGCATAACCACCAGATCAAAATCACTCATTCGTTGATTTTCTTGATTTTTTTTTTAAATAAATATAGCGATAAAACACTGCCGAGTAGTGATACAAAATAGAATAAATGTAAACCTAAGCTTGAAATAAGGCTGAAAGTTATTGCGTTAGTTATTTTCAAAATTAGCCTTATGTATTTGTTCTCTATTTCATTAAAGTGAGAAAATTTTAATGTTGCTTCGCTTAATCTTCTAATTATTATGGTAAGCCGCCTATATGTATGAGTTCTAATGTCTATGTTTAAATTATATCTATATTATTGTGAATCTTGATTCAACTTTTAAGTTTGCAACATGATATATTAATAACCTATTTTGAAATGTGGTGAAAAGATGTAGATTCAAATTTGGCCGAGCAAAGCGAGGCCGAAACATAAAAAATGTAAAGTTGAAGCATGGTCAAGAACTAGAGTTATTACCCGGGTCTGTTGACCCGTACGGGTCACCCTACTACAGTACACCCTCTCAAATCCGGTGGACATCTTTTATATAGATAAGGATGTTAAAAGTCCGGTCCAGCGGGATGACATGTTAGATCAAATATAAACCCCACCAACACGATCCGTTAAGGGTGCCTCTTTGAGGCATATGTTTTTTTATTTGTATATTGTTGTTCCGGCAACAAGTTTTTATTTAATAAAGAAGGGGTCGGTGACCTCACCATTTTTTATTTTTACGCGATTTTTTTGATGGCTATTATTTTACATATTATAAATTATCTATTGTT